GTAATCGACTGGACGCTGAATTACGGGGAAAATCCCTCCCCCCCCACCCCGCCTCCCGGATTGCAAACAGACTCCTTTAAGGTCCGAACCGACTGCAGGGGGGGAGGAATAGATGGGTAAGGCGGGATTCACACAACCGCGCGTCTAGAGGTGCCCATCCTTCACAACCTCTGCTTGTCCTGGCCGGCAGTGATACCTACCAAGGCAGCGAAAAACGAGACTGCGACCCGCGGCTACTCGGGTACGTTCCCACGTTCAGGATCGGGCCCCTTAACCCATTTCCCTTTTTCTTGGGAATAATAAAGACACTCACTTTCCAAGCAGGCCCTGTGAATTCCTGCTGGTTTTGTTTGTCCCGTCCCCCCCTTAAATAAACCGCTTTTCTTGGAACTCGTGTTCTCTGTTAGGGTTCCCACGAACGGGTGGAAAACTGCCAGGTCATTCCTGCCTACTCCGCCGCTGGGACTGCCCCTCGAAGCCCCCCCTTTTCCCCTCGCCCCTTCTCAGAAAGAGGGTGGCAGCCAAAGGGGCGGGGGAGCTGGCGCCGGAGAGAGCGAGGGGGACCCGCTGTCAACCAAGGACGCGTGGATTTCCTTCCCATTCCTACGATTGAAATGTTTCAAGGTGTTTGTAATAAGCGAATGGATGGAAGCTTTTCTGGATGGATGGATGGGCGTTTGAGTGGTGGCAAATTCGCACTTGGAACAGAAAGGGACTCTCACTCACTCACTCACTCACTCACTCACTCACTCACTCACTCACTCCATAGTCTGTCTGTCTTTCTTTCTTTCTTTCTTTCTTTCTTTCTTTCTTTCTTTCTTTCTTTCTTTCTTTCTTCCTCTCTCCCTCCCTCATTCTCTCTCTCTCTTTCCTTCCTTCCTCCCTCCCTCTCTCCCCTTCCCTCCCTCCCTCCTTCCCTTCTCTCTCTCTTTCCTTATTTCCTCCCTCCCTCCATTTTTCCTCCCCCTCTCCCTCTTTCCTCCTTCCTCCCTTTCGCTTTTTCCCTTTCCTTCTTTCCTTCCACCCTCTCTCCCTTTTTCCTCCCTCCCTCTCCTCCCTCCCTCCCTCCTTCCCTTCTCTCTCTTTCCTTCTTTCCTCCCTCCTTTCCGTTTTCTTTCCCCTCTCTTTCCTCCCTCCCTCTTTCTCTTTCCTTCCTTCCACCCTCCCTTTTTTCTCCCCCATTCTTTCCCTTCCTCCTTCCTCTCCCTTTTTCTCTCCTTCTTTCCTTCCACCCTCCCTCCCTTTTTCCTCCCTTCCTCTCTTTCGTCCCTCCTTTCCTTCTCTCACTTTCTATTCCTTGCTTTCTTCCCCTCTCCTGTTCCTCTTATTTCTTTCTTTCTTCTTTCTCTCTCACTCTCTTTCTTCCATTGAAAGCCAACCACTTTCTTCTTTACCCAAATTCATATTTTGCCTCCCCATAAGATTCTCCGAGCTAAGGTCGAGGGGGTTATAGGAAGAGAGTGAGGAAGGAGAGGAATTACGCCCCCTTGTCTACTTTCTCTGCTGTCTGCTTCGTCAAAAGCCCTTCTCATTCTCCCACCCATCCTTCCCCAAGTCCTGGCGCTGCTCTCCTTGTGTGTAGAAAGGGAGCTCGTTTCCCCCGGAGCAGCCCCGGCAGCTTTGCGGTTTCTCCGTTTAATCGCCTTTCCTGGCTCAAGTTTGCAGCGAGAAGAGGAAGAAGCGGCGAGGCTCGCTCGTTCGCTCCCTCTCCTTCTCCGACTCCCCCCTCTCTCTCTGTTTGTATCTGTCTCTCTCTTTCTTTCTCTCTCTCTCTGTATCTGTCTGTCTCTGTCTCTCTCCCTCTCCTTTTCCCTCTCTCCTTCCCTCCCCCCCTCTGCCTCCGTTCCCCCTAGGACATTTCGTTGGGGAAAGAGGCTCCATCCATCCCAATAACCTCTCCCCTTCCCAAATCCAGACCGGTCTCCTTGGGAGAAAGCGCAGAACACAGCCCCAAAAGCCTCGTTCAGTGACAACCTGCTTTGGGGTGGGTGGGTGAGGGTATTTGTGGGCATGGGTGTGGGGGGAGCCTGCCAAAGCAGCATCCATTTGCTTTGGTGTCCCGCCTGGGGGTGGGGTGGGGGTTGCGGAGAATCCCGAATCCGCGTGGAGGGGATATATAACCCATTCAAATGGTGGGAATCCCTGGCCTCGCTCCGACGACGCCAGGCCTTGAAACAAAGGCCGAGGGTCTCTCGCTCCGCCCTTGATTGGCCCTCTTCTTCTCTTCCTCGCCTTCTCTGGTCTTGTGAATGGGCGGCCTGCCTTAAACCGTCCTGTGGTACGATCCTAAACCAATCCGTAGACTGGGCGGGCTTGACCCGACGCAAGGAAAGGCCGGGCGGATGCCTTCGCACACGAGGCTCCGTCGTAACATTTGATTCGGACCGGCCCCGGGTCTTTCTCCACGGTGCTTTAAACGGATGGGGCTCAATTGGGAGGGGGGCGCGGGGTCGTTTTCGGATTCAATCATTGTTCAAACCCAGTTAATTGCGGCTATTCCTCCTCCATAAGTATGATTTTTGCAGAATAACCTGGAAACAATTATTTGCATCGTTCTCACTTAACTTTTTTTTGGGGGGGGGGTGGAATCCAGGTTTGCTTGGCTAGATTTATAACAGGTCTTTTTTCCCCCTTCTTCTCACGAACATCTACAGTCGCGAACACTGAATCAAAGGGAGGGGTTGTAGGTAATGCTTGTGCCCCCCTCCCTCTGTGTGTGTGTGTATGTGTGTGTGTGTTTCGGGGCGGGCTGGAAAATGGATACCTATAACTTTCATCTTTTCTTTTCTTTTTAAAAAAATACTGATTAGGCGCGTGGCATAAGCGTGTATCAGCTCTCTCCGGCGCGCAGATCCACGTTCCCACGGATTCTCCTCCCTCCCTCAAATTGCCCCACCGAAACCACATGTTCGTCCTCACAGTGTCTCAATTTTTAAAAGGGGGGGGGGCGACACTAAAAGCATTATCCTTAAAGAGAGGGGGAGAAAAAGAGGGAGGGAGGTTGGGAAGGAGGGAGGAAGAGAGAGAGGGGGGGGGCGTCTATTTCAATCTCCACCCTTTCCTTGACCCGAATAATAATAAAAAAAACAAACTAAAGAGACCCCAGACCATTAAAGAAGCGTGGATACCGATCGGGAGGAGAAGGGGGAGGGGGTAAAGGGTCATCCTAACTTCTGTGGCACCACCACGAATTTTTTCTTTCTTTCACGCGGACGAATCCGCGGAGATTTCGTCCAAGCTCTTTCTGAGTCGGGGAACAAAGAGAGGGTCGCAACAAGGGGAAGCGCTCGGATTCCCACGCAGGGATGCTGGCATTTTTAGGGGTGGGAAGGGATACTGCCTGAGCTCCCGGTGGCTCTGCGAAGGCCAGGAAAAAAAAAATAGGAGAAAGGCTGATTTGGGATTGAATTCCATCAATTCCACGCGACCCAGAGGCAAACCCCAGGAATCCGTGGCACCAAATGTTTCAAACAAAAAAACCCGTCCAGAAGACACGATGTTTCTGCCACGGGGAGCCAACTCTGCGTCTCCTGAATGCCAACTGCCAGGTAGTTCCTGGGGAATCCGCTTCTAGCCACGGGCGGCAAAGGTGGGCCATATAGCTTGCGCCACGCGCGACCGAGAACGTCTTCCCGGCTCCATAGAGACGGCCGGATCCAGGAAGGCGGCTGCGGAGCGTGGTTTCGGAAGCGGGGAAGGGAATATTTCTCCGGATTTTTTTTTGCTGCCACTGGTGAGGAGATCTCCTTCCTTCCCCCACCCACCCACCCCACTCCCCGAACGACAGGCCGCATTGACAGCGCGACCCTCAACCCAGACGCCGTTCCACGGACATCAAAGGGCTGGTCGGTTTGGTGCTGAACTTTTAAGGGACGTGGCCGGGGAAGTCCGCATTCAGTGCACGTGGGAAAAGCGTAAAAGCCACGGCGAGGATAACAAGTAAGTGGGTGTGTGTGTGTGTGTGTGTAAGGCGTGGGGGGAGGGGAGTAGGTGAGAGGCAAATCCGTCCAATCCATTTCAGTCCGACTTCTCCGGTTTTGCATTTGGCTGGATGTCGGTCTGTTTTGTCTCCCGGATTTCCTTGTTATGTCTGAACGCGGCCGGGTGTGGGCTTCAGCGAGTTTCGTACCTCTGGTTGTCTCTCCCCCCGCCCCCGTCCCCTTCCACGATTCAGCCTTTTCTCCTGACAGTTTCTAGAATCCGTTGGAAGACAATTCTCATCATCCCCAGCCGCCCAGGCCTGCCACGGGTTACACGCGTGAGAGAGGTTTTCCGTGGGCGGGGAGGGGGAAGAACCTGCGAGGGGCATAAGTGACGGGGAAAAGATCAGCCTCCCCCACCGCTTGGTAACTCGTATTGACTCCGTGGCCGAGTTGAAACAAAAGCCGCTCCCCCCCCAACCCGTGAATTAAACCCCCTGGCCAAAGTTCTTAAGATACAATCGGCCACAAAACGAATCAAACATCCCCGGTTCACTCTCGGCTCGGCTACGGACTAACCGAATCAAGATTCCCACTAAACAGGCTCCGAAGGCGGTGAATGCCGCCTCTAAAATCTCCTTTCGCCTAACTGAGTTAAGTTGGTCGTGGGAACCCAGCTCTTGCGTGCAAACGTTTCGTTCCCGGTTTTCCAGCCGGGCAGCAACTTTCAAGGCGGTTTTCCTCGCGGAAAAGAGTCTATTGGGTGGGGTGGGGGTGTTGTATGTATGTGTCACAGGCTGCCCCCCCCGTTTTCTCTCCATTTCCCCCATTCTCCATGACAGGCCAGGGGTGGGGGGCGGGTTGCTGGCGTGACCTCGCCTTCCCTACCCAAGGGAAGACGCCCCGCCGCTCCTCCCCTTCCCCCCCAGAGACCCCACTTGTCAGCCTGGGGGAGGGTGCGCCGCCCCCAAGGCCCGCCTGGCTCCCCCCCCCCCATCCCCGCCGTCTTTGCCCTGGTCCAACCCGGAAGAGCTCGGCTGTCCCTGCCCGAGCGAGGAAGAGGAGGCGGAGGCGGTGGCGATGGGGCTGCGGATAGTGGCGGCGGCGAAGGAGGAGCGGCGAGGTCAGAGCGATTCGGGCTGGCTGCTCGGAGGATGCGCAAGGCGCCGGCCTCTCCATCTCCGCTTTCGGGCCTGGCTACAGCAGCAGCAGCAGATCCACGCGGGATTGGAGGATCACGCGTGACGGCCAACATTTACAGGATCCGGCTCCTGGGGTGTCGAGGAAGGCGCCATCGGCTGCCCAGGTCAGTGTCGGAGACTCCCTGCGCGTTTCTCTTGGCAACCCACCCACCCCCACATCCCCCCACGGCGGGCGAGATTCGGAATCCGGAAGCTTCCCAGAGGCCCCGCGGAGGTGTGTTTGCGCGTGAGAAATGAAGGAGGCGGGATCCCCTGGGATCAGGAGCCCCTGGCGCGATCCTTCAACCTGGTGCGTGGTCGGGAAGGCCCTGCGGGCTTTCCCACGACCCTGTCCCTGGGGATCCACGGGGCGAGAAAGGGAAGGAAACCCCGTCCGGTGCGTGGGGGACGCCTTCCAAAATGCCAGATTTTTTCGCGGAGCCTTGGCTGGTTCTGAGACGGCCAGAAGGCGTTTGCCTCTGGTTTCCCCCCTCCAAGGAAAAAAAGGGGGAGTGAGTGGGTTGGACCCACGCACGCACAGGCTGTCACACCGGATTCCTGTCCGCGCTGGCCTCTCTCTCTCTCTCGGGAGGGGGGGGGCTTGGTAAGAGCAGACGGGAACACCTGGGGCTGCTGGTGTGGCTGGCCTCGCCCGCCGACCACGAAGCGGAGAAGCCGGGCTTCGGGGCGTCCGAAGGGCACCGGTTCGTGGGGGGAGAGGGGGAACCCGGGTGAAAGGGACCCGTCGATCGGGTCCGCGGTTCCAGCCTTGGCAATTTTGTCCTTTCCACAGCCGCCTTTGTCTGCCTCCATCTTTGCGCACAGGCCTGCCCAGGTGTTCCTCTAATCGAATGAGCCCGATTCGTGTTCGCGTGTCTGGGTGGTTTTCACGTGCACGGCCTTGCCACGCTCGTGTCCACATTTCGGTGCTGACCTTTAAGAGCTGCCTTGAAAATAAGCCCATTTCTTTCTTTCTTTCTTTCTTTCTTTCTTTCTTTCTTTCTTTCTTTCTTTCTTTCTTTCTTTCTTTCTTTCTTTCTTTTTCTTTCTTTCTTTTTCTTTCTTTCTTTCTTTCTCTTCCTCTTGCTTTTCCTCCTTTCCTTTCTTTTCACTTTCTTTCCTTTCCCTTCCTTTCCTTTCCCTTCTCTTTCCTTCCTTTCCTTTCCCTTCTGTCCTTTTCTTTCTTCCTTCCTTCCCCTTTCTTTCCCTTCTCTTTCCTTCCTTTCTCTTTCCTTCCTTTCCTTTTCCTTCCTTCCTTTTCTTTCTTTCTTCCTTCCTTTCCTTTCCTTGTGTCTTTCCCCCCTTTCCATTTGCTGCCTTAAAAACCGATTGCGCTCAAACCTCCCTGAATTTGCACGCTTCTCCCCAGTCAATCCGCGCACTTTCCTTTTAAAAAAATGGCTTCGGGACGCAAAACAGATTTTTCGTTTTCAGCCGGAGGTGATCGATCCGAGGCGGGAGAGATAAAAGGCGCGGGGATACAAATCAAGGAACGAAGAAACGGGGGGATGGTGGGAGGTGGGGATGGGAGGGAAATCCAAGCCCGCAGAGCAGCCACCGAAGCACCCTCCTCGCCACAGCCCTCGCCCCATCTGGCTGAAAGGGGGATCCCGGTTAGGGCACGGCGGGGCGGCGATCCACACCCGAGTTTGCTAGAGCCAGGGAGCGAATGCTGGGCGCAAGGAGGTTGCAATTAAGGCAGCCCCCACCTCTTCGTTCCCTGCTTCCTAGCAGCCCTGGATCCGTCGGGGGGGGGCGCGTTTGTTTCCAGACCCGGGCAAGATAGAGAGGCGCCTCGGAAGCCCCCCGAGTTTCTGCCCCTTTCTTTGGGATTTTGTCTATCTTATCTAGCAACCCGCGGGAAGCCAGCCGAGAGGAAGACGCCGAGAAAAAGGGAAGGAACAAAGAGAAGGAAGGAGAAAGAGAGACGCCACGAACCCCCAAAGCGGGGAGGGGAGGGGGCTTCCCGCGAACGGGCAAGATTTCTTCACCGACCCTCGGTAAAGAAACCCGCCTCATTTTCTTTCTTTCTTTCTTTCTTTCTTTCTTTCTTTCTTTCTTTCTTTCTTTCTTTCTTTCTTTCTTTTATAGATATTATTTTTATTCAGCATTTTTTAAACGTTAAAATCACAATTACACTTTTGCAGCTTTACATTTTCTTTCCCCGGGCTTGTTTTGGCCCCGCGCTCAGGCGTTGGTCGGCGAGGTTCATCATCCCCATACCCCTCCCCATATTTTACCCACCCACCTCGCCATCCAGAGCCGGACCTCAGGCCGGAGGATGGAAAGAGCAGGACGGAGCGAGTGGATTCCTTCGGTCCTCTTTGGAATCGCTGGCGGGCCTATTTGACTGAGCTCCTGCCTGCCTGCCTGCTTGCTTGCCTGCCTGCCTACGCGAGAGCGATCGACGCAGATCCCCTATCCCAGCCTGGATCCCTCCCTCTCCTCCTTCCCTCAAGCGTGTGACTCTCTCCCTGGCATTGTCCTGGTGCGGCGTCCACGCCCCCGCGTGCCTGGCCCTCCACGCACCTCCCTTGCCACCCTGGGAAAGACTCCGAAGCGGGAACGCGCGTGGGATTTAGAAAGAAAGCATCGGGGATCGGTAGAGGGCAGAGAGAGACCAGCTAGCTCCGCGCACGCCGCGTACGAGACCAACCCGCCTTGTTCAAGAGAGCCAGGTGGGTGTTTTTCTGGGATTATCCTGCTTCGTCTGAATGCAACAGGCCTCGGCTGCAGGACTAAGCCAAGCGGCATTTGCAAGAGGCTCGAAATTTGCTTTTTTCCCCGCGAGTGGGCTGGATCCACGGGCGGAAGGGCTCTCTCTCTCTCTCCCCCCCCCCCCCCCAAGGCCAAGCCGTGGTTTTTGCAAGCCTAAATCGTGTCTTTCCGTATTCGCACAGCTTGCTGGACACGCTTCGGTTGGTCTGGCGACGGGCTGCGAGGCAACCGTTTTTCAGGGGCCGCGGTGCCCGGTTCGCCTTTCCAGGCCTGCTCGCCGCAATTGCGGGAACCGCGCCCGGGGTCCCTCGCCTAGGGTTCATTCATTCCCACAACCAGGTCAGTTCCGAGCTGAAAGAGCGGGATTCGCCTGCCGTGGTAAAGCTTAGCCAGCCTTAAAACTGGGTTTGTGCGTTAGGGCGAACGCGGCGGGGTTACGTGTTACTCAGCCGGGGAAGCCAGAAAACCTGTTTTAAAATCGATCGTGCGAACGCGGCGGCCTTTTCTCGTTTCTTCTCATTAATTGTCCACTTCGTTGCGAGTCCGTTTGCCTTTTTCTGCTGAACTTATTACTATTATAGTTTGTCTCACGCTCGGCCGCATCTACGGGTGGTTTTATTTCAGGTGGCGTTTTTCCATACGATTATTATTATCATTATCATTATTGTTGTTATTGTCATTATTATTACCGTTATTATCATCATCATCATCATTTGCTTTGTTCATTAAACATGAAACTCAGTCAACTGAACATTCAAAAATGCATCACAAATACCATTGACTGGTGCTAATGGTTGATACGGGTTGAAGCCAACGTCCCTAGGTATCAACCAAGGACTTTCTTAAGATGTACCGTTTTTTTTGCAGTTCCGCTGGTGTTATTGCAGGAAGCTGCAATTTCTGGATGTGTTTTGTAAAATTCTTGGACATGGTACCGAGTGCCTCGATGACAATGGGTATCACTGTTGCCTATTATATTAGTCTTAATTATTATTATCATTAATTATTACAATTACTATCACTATCATCATCATTACTACTACTATTAGTATTGTTGTTGCTGTTATTCTTATTATTATATTTATTCATTAACCACGAAACCCAGTCAAATGATTAATGAATAAAGAATAACAACAACAATAATAATAATCATTATTATTATCATCATTTTTATTATATTTTTATTGTAATTATTATGCGCGCGCGCGTCTTCGGGTTGAAATCGCGCTCAGGTCGGATCGGCGCTTTGGAGAAAGCAAAAACGGCCCGCGTCAAATGTGTCGATTGTTTTTGATCCTCTCTACGATTTAAAATCGTCCGTGTAGCACTTTTTGAGGTTAGGGGAGAGGGGCTGGGAAAGAACTGGAGATAAAACTCACTCAGCCTGGCCTGGCTGAGTCATAATTTCCTGAAGGAACTCCAGGCCCTTAAACAGAGTTTCAACGAAGCATGGTCAGAAACCCGAGTGGTTTCCTTTCCACCTGTGAGTTTTCTTTTTAAAAGGTAGGATTTAAGGGAGGGTGGGGGCATTTCGGCTGGATCTGGCATTTGCCAAGGCGATCCGAATTATCCGCTGGCCTCGTCCTTTCTCAGTGTGCCAGCAGAAGGGCAGAACTTGGGCGGGTGAGCGTGGAATAGCCGTGGCCTGGCAAGGTGGCTTCAGAACAAGGCGGCCGGAACGATGACGGTCCCTGACTTCAAAGAAGGGGGCGACTCCAGAACAGTGGTCAGTGCAAACCTCCCCCCCAAAAAAACACCCCTCCTCCGAGCCCCCATTCGCGAAAGACTGGTCGCTCCTCCTCCCCGCGCCGGCTTTGTGAGGCAACAAGGAAAGGAGAGGCGGTGGGCCAGTGGGGAGAGGGAAGGGGAGGAAAGGAGTATGAAATAGAAGGAAAGGATTGAGAGAAGGAGAAGAGAGAAAGGAAGAGGAGGAAAGGAAAGGGAGAAAAGAAGGAAAGGGAAGGAGGGAAGGAAAGGANTGATGGATACAAAAGTAGACTATAGTTCCGGGCCACTTTCTGTTACTTAATGTCCCGATTACAGGGTTTTTTTTTTAAATAGAAAAAAAAATCAAATCTACAGTTTATGTATTTTGTATTAATTTTAATCCAGATCCCTTGAATTTGTCACGTGTCTCTTTCTGAATGTATGCAAACTCTGGGGAAAACAACAGCCTTTCTTTCCAAAGATTCAGAATATAAACTGAAATGACCCCCGGTGGAGT